TGGCTCTGAAGTTTACTAATTAGGGTTAGGAAACTGAGTGAATCAAGTTTCAGCTCAGTTTTCCCAGTATAATTACCCTAAATAAAACCTGATTCACTCAGTTTTCTTGATCTTTCTTACTCTAATCATGATCACTAAACTTCAGAGTCATACGGCGTTCTGTATTTGGCGTTCGGCGAACTGCAGAACACCGATTGATGATTCTGAAGGGTTAAGAAACTGAGTGAATCAAGTTTCAAGTCTGTTTTCGTTGTTAAATGACCCTAAGTGGAACCTGATTCACTCGGTTTCGCCTAACCCCAAGCACTAAACTCAGAGTCATTCGGCGTTATGCAAAATAGCCCTGCCGAAGTCTTTCTTGATCACGCCACACTCGAGAAAGAGAAAGAGAGGCTCTGCTGGCAAGGTGCGAAAAGCTTTGACCGAGAAGGTCACCCGGCGAGGAAGACGTCATTCAAGGGACTAGGCAAGGTTTACTTCAAAGAGGATGTAGTCCCGAGTCAATTTGAGGACAAAAATCACAAAATAGCCGGTCTAACTGAAGTGTCATTTAGGCCCGGTTCAGACACCGCTCCACTCATGTGCCGAACCTAACTGAGGTATTAAGTACGGCAAAAGAGCGGCGTGTGAATCAGTTTGGTAGGGCAGTTTTAATTTGGTGTGGCAAAAACGTTAAGTCCGACAGGGTCTGTCGCATTATTCGACATTGGAGTGGCAGGTGATTCATACGGCGTTCTTCTCATGTGCCGAATCAAATGGTACATTGTGATAATTTATAAATCTTCCCATAAGTCTTTTTCTTTCTCCCTACATGAAATAAAGATTAGGTTCGACACACGGTGCGCCGTCTGAATCAGATGTCGCGCCAATGTCGCTCTAAAGTCGAACCAAACTCAGTTAGGTTCGGCACATGAGTGGAACGGCGTCTAAACCGGGCCTAACTTATTACAAAGTTTGTAGCCCAGTGGTAGCATTGCTTTGGCGCTTGTCGAGGCGAGCTTAACCATAGAGGTAACATCAATTTCACAAGTAGACTGAAATAGAAAACAAGCCTTTTAATTTGGCCGTGATGAGTTGAGGAAATCTCATTTTGAATGTAAAAAAAATCATTATTTTCTTTACTTACCATAAGTTCCTCTAGATAACAATGAACCTGAGAGTACTTCTTGCGTTCTTGCTGTTGGCAATGCTCACCACTGAAGTGCATTCCTGGTGGGGCAGAAGAAGACGAAGCACGCGATCACCACCTCGCCCCAGTACTGGTGGGAGAAGGTAAGTCACGCTTGTCCCTGAGTGGTTTTTGCATCTTATCACAGACCCCGTATAGTACAATCATTATTTAATGAAATAATTATTTCCCTAAATGAGCAGTTTCAACTCATTTTGAAGGCACCAACAAATTCAAAAGGGAAAGTGTTTTAGCGTTTATACCAACTATGTAAACTAAGTGAGGATACAGAGAAACTAAACACGTCACTTAAGTCCCGGATGAAGTGATGTATGGACTCTAATAGGCCACTGCCGAGTTCCAAAAACCCTCACTTTCAAAATGAGGCCAAGTGCACAACCTTTCTGGTGAAGATGAGTTTTATTTACTTTCTAAATGTCCTTTATTTTTCTTTTGACTGGTTATGCCATTTTAAAAGACTTTTCATACCTGTTTGGCGCGAAATTCACCGGTCAAAAATTCTACCGGTGACGTCATGACAATTGACCAATAGGATAGTGATATTTCACGCCGCTCCTGACACAGCATATGTCAATCATTTTTTCCCGAGTGAATTTATAATATGATTCAAATCCATCCAGGCGAAGCCAGTCGACCTCCAGACTTCGTCGCTCGCTCACTTTTAAGAACTTATGAGAGGTCGACTTGTTGTAGCAAGTCTACCCTATTGCTTGTTTTAGCTAGTTTACTTCCCGAAGAAATCAAACACTTCCCTTCATATAGTGAGGGTGGTTTTTAGCCAAGACCTTTTATGTACTGTATATCTAGACAAATTCGAGGTCCTTATGAACGCAAAAAAATAGCGAACCATCTTCACCGTCATAGAATGCTTAAGGTCATTGATTCAATTACTAGTAGCTTCTGGATGATCTCGTTGCTCGGAGTATTTTGGGGCTCGTACCCAAGGATATGCCGAGCTAAGGGAACCAATCAAAACTTTCGAAAATTCCGGCTATCTGCTAATTGGCAACCTTGTTCTCCTTTTCGTCCCTCTCTCTCTCGCTTTGTAGGGACAAGTAGGACTGGGAGAACCCTGGGTACGAGGTTGCTAATTTGGTAAAGCCCCGTGCAAACGGACACAACGTTGTTGGATGTTACATGTTGCGTCCGTTTGCACACCCCGTTGCATGTTGTTGGGAGTCGTTGCGCAAAGTTTGAAACTACGTGAAAACGAACTCAGCGATTCACAACATTGTTGGGCCAACAGTTTTATGATTTTTACAAAGTTTATCAAAATGTGCATTGAAAGGGCACGGAAAAACCAGACGTTTCGAGGAGTTGTTGGGAGTTATTGTGTCCGTTTGCACGTAGCTTATATTAGTACTAACATGATTTGCGCTAACGTTCTTGATATCTTGGCTGATTTAGTCCTGCAGGTGGCACGGCCCGGAACCCAAATGCAGTGGTGTGCAATCATTACAGGAGTAGTAACCGCCTCACTTGCAGAAAGTAAGCTGCTACGATTTTTCAACGCTAAACAGTCTCCTCTTGAAATCGAGAAAGAAAACCCTGCAGAATGTTTGTGAAAACGTTTGCTCCCGAACCATGTTCATAGCTTAGGCTTATTACACGCAACTTATTGTAGTGGTAACAGAAGTACTGAAAATCCACTCCAAGTGATTGATATACTACGAAAAGAATCCCTTGATATTTTGACTGCACATAAAATCCAGTTAAACAAGAGGGATTTTGTCTTAGTATATTAGTTTTTTTTTGTTTCTTGGCTCTCGTTAAGAAGCCATAAAAATTCCGAATTCGGAACACAAATACCCACCCGGAAAAAGTCAGATGTCAAGCAAATGAACGCTTAGAGCTAGGGAACTCAAGGGAGGCTTTTCACGATCACTCACTCGCTTTATTGTTTTCTTGTTGTTGAGCAGACTTGTGCCCCATCAGTCACCAACCCCCCTCCCTCCCCCATGAATCATGGGCTAATGCCAATTAGTAAGATCCATCTAGTGGTCTATTATCAATGCTGCGTTCTGATTGGTTGAGCTACTGCTAGGCTATATGTTATGGCCCACTAGTAGCGAAAAGCGCGGTCTTTTTGGCGGCAAAAAAGGATTAAAGTCTATCTTTAACTAGCTAAAAGTTTTTTGTTCTCGATATTTTTGACCAACTAGTTGTATTTTACCAAAACAATTATTCCTCTCACCCTCATGGCCTCTGAGTCAATAGCCTATTCGGCCTTCGGCCTCATGGGGTATTGACTCAGAGCCCATTCGGGCTCGAGGAATAATTGTTAAATATATATTTTTTCTTAAAAGGGGCGGATCCTCGGTAACCTGTACTACACAGCCACCCAGGGAGAGAAACGACCGTCGCTACGGAGGGCCAACTCCACGGGGCGAGTATCTGATTGGAAATAGGTACCCACACCGAAGGCACAATATCGACTGGTACAATCTGTACCCCAAGAAAGAGGACAGTTCTGGTTACTATGGTTACACACAGCCCACTCGAACGGGGCGTTATGCGATGGGCCTTCATCCCGGGAGAACAAGCTTAGGATGCGTAACAGTCAGGGCGCCAACCTACAACAGCGATGCGTGCTGGCAGCGGATTCGCAGGGTGATTGACAGCGGGAACATGTACTATCGTGGTTCAAGTTACAGCGGATTCTTGTTTGTCAGTTAAACTAGTTACGTTACACCCATTCCATGGGACCTACCTATTGACTTTAAAGTTAAAACACGTTTGAAGGCTACTTTGTTAAACACGGTTGAAAATTGCTTTCGATATAGATGCTGCTTACTAGCTTGTTGGCCATATTGAAATTTAGCACGGGTAATAGGACATTTCCGAGTTGCTCAAAGCCTCTGTTTCAGAGCGAGGCTAAAGTGCAAAGCCATTGATATGAAGTGAATTTTTATTTCTAATCATGCAAATAAAACTCATTTTCATACGAAAGGTTTTGCACTTATCCTCTGTCTTTCAAAGTGAAAGTTTTTGGAACTCGGAAATGGTCTACTGTAGAAATTAACCCTTTAAACCCTAACACCAAAATTCAAATTCTCATTTGTTATCCGTATACGTTTTTAATAGAGGTAGTGGGGAGAATTTGTTGAAGTATCAATTAGATTCATCTTGTTTGATCATGTCCCTAATTCTCATGACCACTCTGTTTTACAAAGCATTGATATTACAAGGAGAAATTTGACGCTCATCACTCTTAGGGCTTAATTTGTATAGAGACCAGTCTTCCACTCTTCTGTTATTAACAGTTCATTTCCCAGATATACCGGAAGCCTCCGAGAATAGAAGCTAGGCCAGTATTTTCATTCATATAAGACTAAGGTTTTGGACTTGCCCTAATTTTAAGAGTGAGCGACTTTGGAACTTGGAAGTGGCCTTATTATTTGGGGCTGTTTCGTCGGTGTGTATGGGGCTTAAGATTGAGGGATATCCAAGAGCCGTTTAAGATGCTGATCCACATTGCAGCATTATAAACATATCATTTTGAAAAATAAAGTAATGAAAAGTCTTTGTATTTGCTCTAAAGTACGGGTGAAACTTGTAATAGTCTTAAATTACGTAAAGTAGCGGTGTAATTGCATAAATAAAGTATAAAAGTGAGGGGAAACTGAGCATTGATATCAGTTTTGAATAAGCTGGGTTCAAAAATATAACCAGATTTTTTCACCATTGGCAAAGAATAGAATGGTTGACAAAGGCAATAAATAAATGCATTCTAGCAATCCAAAGGGCTTTTTCAACTGAGCAAGAAATACATGACTTCAGTGCATAAGCACGTATCAGAATGGACAAAATTGCAAAATTGTTATTAATAGTATTTTTATTTGTCTCCATTTACTTGATTCACTGTTCGAATAATTCTGTGTCCTGTTCCAAGGTTAGAGTAGCTTGCAAGCAAGCTCTGTGCAAGGCTGACGCCTGGCGCGGTTGATGTTAGTAAAGGTTTTTGAGTCAATAAGGCAAACCATCTCATTTTGTAACAGCAACTTGTTTGATCCAGTTCTTACAACTGCTCTGCTTTGCGGAGTCCTTGATCATATTACCTTATTCGAAAGACGGACGCTATTAACCAAACCAACAACGCCCACATTACAATTAGCTCAGTAAAGGCTAAATGAGAGCTGGTTTTCTTTGCGTTTGTTTGACCTCAATTTTTCTTACTAGGGCGTGAACGAAGCAGAAAAATCAAACGTGGAATGCCGCACGTTAATGCTTCATCCAGTCTCTGTGCTGCAAACTAAGAAATGATGTCTGGGCTTTAAATTCCATTTCTGCCAATTCTCTGACTGATGGCGCCAGTTCTGCTGTGTGTGTCTCAAACATCGTCCCTTTTCAGAAAAGAATCAAAGGAGCGATAAATGGTGATGAAAGTAAAAACAAACAAAAAAACAATAACCGATTTTTCTGCCGTTAAATATTGAGAAATGAAAAGCAGCATGGAAAAACACTATTGAGAAACAAAGGTTGATGTCTGAAAACCAAGTCCTTACCTACTCTTCGTCGTTTCTCGCCGTACTGCACTTTGCCATCAAATTCGTTGACTGACACTTTCATGTTAGGTTGGATGACAGAGATGGTCTCACCTAGGTGCTCTTCCACATCTGCTAGATACTGCGAGAATTTAATCAGAGATATCAAGAGAAATACACTAGACGTGGAAGGCTAGACAAAATTGTTACTTGGAACGCTGCCTGTCCGAAAGGGGGGGAGTGGGGTATAGCGCACAAGAAATAAGGGGCGCGATATAAACTACAGTGAAACCTCCACTAAGCGGCCACCCTTGGGGTACCCGGGCTGCGGTCACCTTTTGGCCGTCCCAACGAGAGTTCTCCCATTGTTGTTACCTCCATTAAGCGGCCACTAAGCCTTTGATAGACTTAGTTTGGTTTCATTTTAACGGAATACGTTTCTGCTTAAGATTATGCTAATTTATGACGAAACCTCTATTAAACAGCCAACCTCCATTAATAGAGGTTTAATTTCCCATTTTTTTCGTTAATTATTTCGGGACTAGATTACTAGCCGCTTAGTGGGGGGTGGCCGCTTATCGGAGGTTCAACTGTATGCACGCGAGAGAGGAGGACACGCGCGCGTTCTCCTCCCTCGCAGCCTGTACAGTTAGCAGCCCGTAACCCGGGGTACTAGGCTTATGGCGCGATATTTACACATTTTAGGGCACCTTTTCCTCGGAGTGAAATTGAAAGCTCCGCTCCCTATATGGATGCATTCAAAGTAAAAGATTTAAACATCATTCAAACAATGTTGTTCAAACAATGGATAGCGCTATCCAGTGGATAAATATCTATCCAGTGGATGGTGCAATTAGTTCCCTAATACTTACCCGCTGGATAGTGATTTATCCGGTGGATAGCGCTATCCAACGTTTGAACAACCGGGACTAGGTCTTTAGGTTTTGCTGACTAAATACGCGCCAAAATCGTTCTAAAAAGAAACTGCTCGCTGATGATTTATGAACATAAATCCGATAAATACACAAGTAAAGAAAGAAATGTGTAGGTGTATTTACCTGTTTCTCGTCATACCAAATGGCACAGCCACCCTGATCTTTTAAGCGCGCGTTGTTACATCCTTTACCTCGGTTAGGACACGAGTGGTACCATACCTGAAATGAATAAAGGAAAAACAATGAAACAGATAACCTTTCAGCGAACTAAGCTCAGTTCTGAAACGTTCACGGAGCTTTATTTACAATGAAAGGACGCAAACGTTGTTCTCAAAAAGCTACATTCTACATTTCAAAGGTATCCCATGTATGTTACCTTTTCTTTCACATCTGAAACGAGTGAAAGTGCCAGTCCCATCCTACGAGAGGAAAATGCCAAACATGAAGAAAAATGCACCTCTTGTACTTCACCGACAAAACTGGACTGAAAGGAACTCAACGCGAACACGATGTTAAGATACACTACGCGCATCCCTTCTCAGATGATACCCTTTATCAGGACAACGTGTAGTTCTAGAAAATAACACCCGTCCACGGAGGCAACAGTGTTTAATGACCCCCCACCCCCTAATTGTATCAAAAAGAACGATTACGTTAGCCTACCGTAAATGAAAGATCATCAACAATGATTCTTGTTTTGAAACACCGGTTAACAGTAAAATAAGTGATAGCTTATGCAATAGACGAGGCCCAGCTTTTAGTTTTTAGTACCTCTACAATCTTGGAGCCCCCGGAAAAAAGACCTCGAGAAGCCACCACCCAACCCTCTCGGTAGACTGTTCACAGTCCCCTATTTTTCCGTGAAATCAAGATGGCCCCCATTAACGGTAAGACGCACTCGATCTCGACGATCACACTGAAAAATAGGGGACTGTGAACAGTCTACCATCTCGGAAATTGCCTCCTTTGAGACTCACCTTTCCCTAGGAATTTCCTTTGCCCTCTGTTAGGCGGAAAGGTGTATTGATGTTGTCTGGAACTACACCCTGAGCTAGCTCTACAACAAACTCTTTTAATTTCCAACGATCATCTCATCATACATATGATTATAACTTTCTGTTTCAAATAAAATCGGTACTAATTAACTAGGTGTGTCAAGCGAAAAAAAAAAGTAAATATACACTAATAATTTGAACAGTGTCATGATTCAAAACCGCACCGCCCATTGATTCCCAGCATAAACGGACAGCTTTCCTCCTCCCTCTCATGACAGAGCCGATTATTATTTCAGTTCATAGTTACCTGTCTGCTCTTCCTACTCGACCGATTCTGTGAACATAGTTCTGTTTGTCATCTGGGAATGTCACGTTCACAACTGGAAAAGGAAAGAAAATAGGGAGTTTTAGCATCGACGAAGGCGACGGCAGCGAAAACGTCACTTTTAAAATAAATTGGCTTTTTTTCAAACTTTGTCGCGTTTACTTTAGTTCGCTGAAAATGTCTAATTTAGGCAAGTTTCTTTGGAGTTGATTTCTTGGGGAGCGCACTCAAATCTAGGAAGAGAAAGAAAATTTCCTCGTCGCTTGTTTACGTCCTCCATAAAACGTGAAATTGGGCATTTTCACGTCGTAGTGGTGCAGTAACGGCAAAGAAATGCAGAAAAAAGCGTGATGCACGTGCAAACTTGTTGTTTTGCTCAATAAACCTTATTGTTTTTTTTACGTTCTCGTTGCCGTCGCCGTCGTCGTCGCTAAAACTCCCTATTAGCCTTACTCAGAGAGGTACTTGGCGACCTTTGTCACATGATAAGGGCATAAAACAAACGCCCAATCATTGGTGATAAAATATATGGTCATGTCAATGACGTAATATGTTACCAAAGCAACGGTACAACTCATTCGAAGCATCTTCAATTTGACCAAAATTACTTTGACTTGGTTAAACACAAGTGATAATGGTGGAAGATGTGAGCGAGAGAGCCAAGTTGATCGTAATTAGCACTCAAATGCTGCTTTTTTTTTTACTGTAACTCTTGACTGACGCAAATCAGGCCTCAAAAAACTCGGCCCCGATCCATAGAAGCAGCGTTTGAGTCTGTATTCGTTTACATTGTATTAGGAGATCACAATTACTTTTACGCAAAGGCAGCCAAGTCTTGTCTAAATAATTTATAAACCGTTGAACAGAAACTTAACCATCTTCGGAGACCCAGAGCCAGTCATTCGGAAGAAATGGCGCAAAGAGAGCTCTGAAGCACCAGCGAGGGCTCCTCTGAACTTTCGTGGCGCCATTTCTCCCGACTCAACTGACTGCTCTTGGGTCACCAAGGATGGAATTTAACAGTAGCACCCGTATTTATAGGAAGATAAAAAAGTGTTCTAAGTCAAGACTTACCATATGGTACACCATTGATGTCAATACCTCTTGCGGCAACGTCAGTACAGACAAGGAATCTCACTTCACCCTCCTTCGAGATACAAAAAAACGGCAATTCCCCACTTCGGAAACTCGAGGGAGAATGAGTACAAGTATTTGTTGCAGTGATTTGTGGGATCGTTTCGGTGGACAAGCGTCAGTATCAAAGACAACCATTAACCAATCACAAGTAACGCTTGTCCACTCAAACGATGCCAGAAATCGTTGCACCGAATGCTTGTACCCATTTCCTGTATAGTTTGTTGAGTGGGGAAAGACGTTAGTAGAAGAAGCGCAAACCTTGTACAAACTGAACTCTCTATAATGGACGTACAACCTCGGGTTCCGGACGACGCTTCTTTCCTGCTTAGCAAACCTCCCACGTGCATTAACAACTCACTAGTGCAAGTTTACCATTTTGAAATAGGACTTTAGTTACTCTTTAACACTGCCAACACTGTCGGGTCGAAAAACCGTTACTTATTTTAACGAGCATTCAAACAATTTGAACTCATTTCTCTTTAAGTGATTACTGGTACCTTAAAAGCTTGCAAGTTGGATTTCCTTTCCTGTGGGGATCTGTCACTATGAAGGCATACACATGAATACTCGTTGACCATAGCATTAAGACCTGTATAAAAAGAAAGAACATGTTTGTTGATGCGAAGATACAAGCCTACAATTTCTTAAATTACCTGACAAAATGGTATTAAATATTATATTCGCTGCCACTTCAAGAGACAAAAGCAAGTTAAAGAATAGCCTTCCACGCAGACGATCTTAGGGGTTCGTCACACGTTCCTGCCCGACGAACTGTGTGGGAGGCTAGTAAAAGTACCCCTCTCGCAAATTATCAGCCCCTAATACCTTCAGTTTCACCTATTAAATTCCCTGCAAAGTCGAGAATTAACCCTTTCACTGCCAAATTTAACAAAAAGCAAATTTCGACCAAATTTCCAAATTTCATTTTCTAAAATTTTGAAAAACAAATGGCATCATGTGTAAGTACAGGCAGAGAGCTTTCATTTGAATGGTCACATCATAGGATTTCATCCGCAGACTTAAAAGTTAGAGTCACCGTACAAAACTTCATCAAGTACTCTGGCAGTGGAAGGGTTAAATCATACTTTGGGATAGTGCAAGCGTATTCTAGCCACTGAAATGACCTGTAGTATTTATTCTCTGATCTTACCTCCCCCTAAAGAGACTAGATATTTCTCCACGTTGTCACAATCCAGCTTTGTGCGACAGAAGATGATGGCTTGGTCCATCTTATGTTCGTTAATAGCCGTAACGAGGTATTCTACTTTAAGAATCTTGACAGCTTCAGACAGAGATTCTGATAACGAAAGGGAAATGAATAAGCACAAAAAAGTTAACAGAATGAGACCACTGAACCTCTTTTTACAATGCAGTACATGAGTAAGGAACATGTGTTATGGGCCTGCAACTGCCACTTTATTCTGTCTGGTCACTGTCCATGATAAAATTAGCCTGCGTAGCAGGCGCTTGGAAGTAGTGGGCAGAAGAAAAAACGGGCGCGCGAGGAAGACACGCGGGGGGTAAGGTAGAGGCCCGTTCTCTCTTTCGCCCACTACTTCCAAGCGCCTGCTACGCAGGCTATGATAAAATTGTAAGACGCACTGGCTTTTGGCGCGAGGTCTACTGTGTTTCTTCGACTCCGCACCAAACGACAGTTGTAAGAGAGGTTCTGCTCGTAGATTTCTTTCAAAATCAGTAAAATATAATCCACTGGGACACATCTACATGTAATTGTAATAGAAAACGTGACAGTGATAAAAAGCCACCGTGCATACAGCTGGAGACAATGTTTTACGACCATAATTCTAAAAATTATAATCAATTAAAAAAAATAGTGAGTACCTGGACTTTGACCGCCGGATTTTATGTTGTCTTTCGCGTGGATTCCATCCGTCTAAATGAAAAGAGACGAGTTCATGATGTACTTATAGTTTACTAACAATCATAGGCTGTGTGGCAGGCGCAAAAAAGGGAGGGGAGGGAGGGGAGGGAGGGGAGGGAGGGGAGGGAAGGGAACGGGCGGGGAAAGGGAGGGGAGGGTTTGGGGAGGGGAGGGAGGGGGAGAAAGCACGAAAGGGAAAAAGGAAAGGAAGTTCCTTTCCTTGTCTGTCCGTTTCCTCTCCCTTTAAGTCTTTCCTCCTTTCCCCTCTCCTTTTGGCGCTTGCCACGCTGTCTACAACTAGCAGGAAGGGAAGAACAAGGGAACATCTGTACCCACCTTAACTTTATTTTTGACTTTTTGCCACGAGGTGTCTATACTGGGATCAACATGGCAAACCTAAAAAAAATAATTAAGGCAAAGGTCGGTGGAGCCATGCCAAATTACTCCGTTGTTATCTAGCCTATTTCTATGCTGCGTAATCACACATATGAAGTGTGGGCACGAGTAGGAGAAACGCGCGCGAGATAAGAGGACATGCGCGAGAAGAAGAAGGTTAAATAGGCCATGTCCGAGCTCCAAAATCTCTCACTTTCAAAACGAGGCTATGTGCAAAAACCTTTCTCGCTAAATTAGTTTTACTTGCATGAGAACAAAAAATCATTTTCATTTCAGTAGCTTCGGGGGAACTGGGAACTGGGCTATTGCTTTTTTCTTTATAATTGCAGATAAAATCGACAAACGTTACACTTCTTTCAGACAGTATGTTCTAGAAACGAAAGTGATATAAACCAGGAATTCAAGAAAGTATTTTAACCGCAGTGAGGTTTGAGCGTACGATCTATGGATATATAAGATAGCCTTCAGTTTTATATTAAGACTGATTTTCACATAATCACTATAATCGTTTACATACATAGCTGGATTTCTTTCAGCAACTGTAGCAATCGCAAGAACACCAGGCTTAGCTGATTGCAAGTTCACAAGTTACTTAACCCTTTAAGCCCCAATATCCACATACAAATTCTCCTGACTGATCTCCATATATTTCCTTAAAGAATTAGTTGGGAGAATTCAATAAAAGATCAAAGTATTTTCCCTTTGGTGATCATTTTCTTAATTCTCATAAACTGTTTCCTCTTGATGAACTATAGACACTGTTAGGAGAAAACTTGCGTTGTAAGCACTTGAAAGGATAAAGAAAAAATCACTGCAAAATCATCAGATTGCATATTACCACATGGTGTACGGTTTCAGGAACAGCATCCTGGCCTTTGAGATCAACCCACGTTGGAAAATGCATAATTCTATCCTACCAAAAAAGAACTTCCAAGTAAGGTAGTAAGAAGACATGATCAAAACCACGTGGGTTACAAATAATGACAATTGCCTACAAAGAGAAAAACCCTGAGGGCCAAACCTCATAAGGTATTATACCCCCATTACGGTCAAGCACCTTTCCGATGGATTCAATCTACTGGGAGTTTTGATTGACATCATATCTTATCCATATCACAGACAACTTCAAAGCACTGCTAATCTATAGCGAAAACAACCTTTGCTTCTAAAGAAAATTCGACATGTCATTTTTTTTAACAGTGCAAGAGATCATGATTACCTTACCATCAGACAAATTACAGATTCCGTGGAATGTAGCCCGATTTGTTCTGCTTAAATATGACAGAAAAAAGCACACATTTCTCCCTACTAACTCTATTACTCTTAGTGAAAAATAAGCCATTGATTGTCAAACTCACAGCTAGTTTCTTGACTTCAAGAGAATGAAGAGTTGCTGAACAGACAATCATCTGTAAAAGAAAAGGCAAAGCCCGTTGGTTGGAATAGTGTTACCCCAAGAGAAGCCTCTCAGTAAAGTCTATGAGCTGTTAGTTCCCTTCAATGTATGCGTATTGCTGGAAAAAGGTTCCTATCTTCCCTATTGAAGCTGGGTGTATTGGACCTCTGCTTTGGTGTTGCCTTCACGGTTTGCAATTGCCGTGGTTAGGAAATGTTACGTCAAAGTGAAACCAAAACGATTTAAGACTTGTTCAAACGTATTTCAATCAGAGCGCGTGTTCATAGATAGCTTCGTCGCGTTGCAACGATTGCTCAGGCATATCTGAGCTAGAGGAATAATTGATTGCTGTGGCTATGATGAGTTTATCAAATGAGTTGAGCTAATTACCTGTAACCGTTTACCATCTGGACTCATTTTAGGAATTTTGCCAAAGATTTTCAGAATCAGCTCTTGGTTTCCCTGTGAAAGTAAACCGTCCTGAAAAAAAAACGCAGATCCAAGGTTAACACTAAATAATCAAATCAAGTTTGTAAAGCGCCGTGCTCGCAGCTTTCTACGCAAACGTTCCTTGGCGTGACTCTTGAGGGGAAGGAACGCTTGACGAAGCCCAAGAAGGTCTCAGTACAAGGCTAGCGTTAGCGTGCTCGTGACCTGAAGGATTGATGGCCTCCTTGAATCATTCGAGGAGGAAATTATTAGAGTTGAAGCTTCACGTATACGGCAAACGGCAAACGTCAGATTCAAGCTGAGAATTTCTCAAAATAGAAAATGAGCAGATAAAAACAACTCAAAACAATTCTTATGGATAAAAAATTGCGTGAAACTACTAATTTAGGTGTAGACGACAGTTCTTGGCCGAAGGCTACTTCTTTGACGCCAATGATTTCCTCACAAGGCTACAAGAAAATTAACCATATTTTTTGAATACATAAATCGCCTCTAAACAAACCATTTAAGCGACATTATGACCATTTTAACTTTTAAACATACCGCTTCATCCAAGACAAAAAATCGGACCTGAAAAATTAATGGTATAACTAAATGTAAGTCACATTAAATCAAAAAGCAAATAACCAATTGGCTTTTTACTACTAAGACTACGGGCCCGTTTCTCGAAAGGCCCGGTAACTTTTCAGGTCCGAACGCAAATTTTGTGATCAAAACCTGGTGAATAATAGCACAATTCCTAGCTCACAAACCGGTCCATTTTGCTTCGTTAACCCTAACTGATACTTTCATTGTATCGTTTGCAAAATTTATTGATACCGTGATCATGAATGCAAACAGGGCAAACATAAAAGAGCTTTTCGGGCCTGGGGCACGTTTCTCGAAAGTCCCGGTACCTTTACCGGCCCGAAATCAAATATTCAAATCGAAATATAAAGAATAAGAGCGCAGGTCCTGGCTAGCAAACTACTGCATTTTGTTTAATTAACTGACCGTTTTAACATGTTAGATGCAAAACTATTGAAACCTCGATCTTTAGTGTAAACGGAGACAGCTTACCGGGCCCGTTAATTATCGGGACTTTCGAGAAACGGGCTCCTGAAAAGTTATCGGCACTTTCGAGAAACGGGAAGCCTGCGAGCAAGCTCTCCGCGGGGCTCTTACGACGGGGCGGGAAAAGGAAGGAGAGCTTGCAACTACGTCTCTGGAATTTGAATTCCACCTCCAATTCCCCTGGGGCTCCCCGTCGATTGAGCTGTCAGATTTCCGCCAATCAATGCGAAGCGGAAACGAGCACGAATGTAAACAAACATTGGAAAACACATAATAATGACGTCATTAATAATGTCATCTCCGCCAAGCAGTATTTCGCATCGACGTTTTCGATGCAGATATTCAACGTCAAATTTTTATAGTTTTATGTGTATGCAAGAGATTTCCATCCGGGTCGTTTGTGTAAATGGTAAGCGCCCCAGAATTCATTTCGTTTTTATTGCATATCTAAAAAATTGGTAATCTTAGTAACGTTTAACCCTTTCACTGCCAGAGTGTTTGATGGAGTTTTGTAAGGTGACTCTCACTTTTGAGTCTGTGGACCAAATCCTATGATGTTACCATTCAAATGAAAGCTCTCTGCCTGTACTTACACATGATGCTATTTGTTTGTCAAAATTTTACAAAATGAAATTTGGAAATTTGGTCAAAATTTGCCTTTGGACACATTTGGCAGTGAAAGGATTAAATAACAAAAGCCATAAAGTTTTGCCTGAGAACCAAAATCCTGAAGGATTCTGGTAGCAGTAGTAGTAAAGTAAAGCCATTGTGCAAATGGCTTATTCAAGAAACAACGGACTGCTCTGAAACGTTGGCAGTTGAAATTATCACATGGTATAAACAATGACACAGAATACCTGAGAGAGGTTAATTTTATCAGTTGAAATAAAATCATCAAGTTTTCCCGGTGTACCCGTCACTATGTCTACCTATGCAAACAAAATAGAAAAGGAAAAAAATTGTTACAAACTGTTATCACTGGTGATGATGGATACGTTAGGTGAAACAGCGCACCACTCAAACTATTTAGAACTAATATTCATTCAGGAATTAGGTATCCTTCTTTCTCTTTTGAATTCCAATAGCATTTACTAATATCTATCCCGCTTGGACACAAGCAGCACAAAAATTATTTGATATTAGAACCTCCAAGGCTCTTTGTGGAACAAAAGGATACCGCTTATTATACAAAGAACCCGCCCATATTTCAAGGGGAGTTGCTTTTTTTAAAAAATTTGGCTTTGAAGAGGTGTGATTATTCGCGCACATGCACTTACTCAAAGAATCACGCTGTGAACTTACTCCTTCATTTAACTGCTGAACTTGTGTCTTGACATTCTCGCCGCCAATCAGTAGTACCTCCCTAAAAGTCATAAATAGTTTACCACACCGTTCAACTGCACGGTCATGCTTGTAAATAGCACAACTGGTTAAACTATTGTCAGCTTGGTTTTTTCCAAACCCTTTCTCTTTCACTTAGACTGTAGTAGGGCCATAATGAAAACTACTGGATTACCAGTAATGAAGATGCCAGTATTTTTCTTTTACAGCTGTTGTACCCTTTCCCCAATTACTCTTTACTGGAACAAGTGAAACACTACGAAAAAATAAGTTTCATTTTGGAAGTTGTGTTTATACTTGAAGTGCGTTCTTAAAGTTTATTGCGTTTGACGCAGAAGACCTCATGCACTCCTAATACAGATTGAAGTGAGACTGTATAGACAACCGTTGTTGATCTAACGAATCTTGGGATACCTATCCTGAATCCCCGCAGATATAACATGGACGAATGACATAATAGAAACTTTCAGATTCGAGGACGAGAACAACTACGACTAGGACATTTGATTTACAGTTTTTTCGCGTATTGTCAAAAAATGGACACCCCGGAATTCTTCATTGTACTTTTTCTCACCAGAAAAGTTAGCACTGTTATGGTTATTGAAGGACGTTGAGCCTTCTCCAGATTGGAAAATGGTAAAACTTCTAATAACTTGTTCCCGCCACTACGACACTCTCGTTAAAACTCGTAGTAGAATGACAACAGCTACCACGTTTTCCCGTCAAAATGACGCTCGTTCACCCGCGAGCACAACTTACTACTGAGAAAATCTCGTACTCGTAGTCGTTCTCGTCTTAGAATCTAAAGGTCTCTAATCTCTAACTTGCCAATGAAGAGGGAAGCGGCAGGGCATCGAGATCACTTGACACATTCCATAATCATGCTCAAATCATGCTTTGATCATCGCAAGTATGTATGTATAGAATAAACTACTATTGATAACATGAAAACTTACTTCACTTGAGGATTTGGTAAAAACTTCCTGAAGTTTGATATCTGATTGTGGGTCTAGGATATTCAGAGACAAAGGCAATATTACGACTACAAACCATTAACGTAAATGGCGCAAGCTTCCCCAATACGGCACATCTTTGATACAGACGTTTGTACGGGAAACAGCTATAAATATACTTCGTTTTTATCCAGGCAATTGCTGTCTCCCTAATTGTCTAGATCGTTCTGCATCACATCAGTAGCCTGCGTAGCAAGCGTTTCTGTGTGGTTTAGGAGCAAAGAATGAGGAACGAGCCTTTCCACGGTCTTGTTTTCCTCCGAAACCAAACGGAAACTCTTGCTACGCAGGCTGCACATCAGTGGCGTTTTCACTCATCGTCTAGTCTCCCACCCAGGCGTTTTAGGGGTGTCATATTTCCTCCTTCCAACTCCCCTAAAAACGTCTGCGTGCGAGACTACTGCATCATCATGATCGTCTAAACAAATTTTGGGACGACTTGGCTGATCCAGACGTTTATATGAAAATTACTCTTTGCCAAGGATGAGTATAGTGACAAAAAAAATTGCCTTAAAATAGACTGGAATACTACAATGATGTGCTCTGTATTTGCCTTACTATGGTAAAAATCACTTGAAACAAAAGCAATGTAATGTGAATAACAAACATGAGCCATTGCCCTAAGCTTCAAATAAGTGCCAACCTTCGAACTGGTTCACCATCCCGCCCCAGGAAATTTGAAAACCAGCACCAGGCTGTTGATCCCGTATATTTAGCTGCTAACCTGTAAATTCTATAAGAGCTATTTCACACTACCAAGCAACTGTAACTTTATAACTATAGGAGACCAACAAAAGCTAGGATACTATCAAAAACCTCACCTGTTGAGCCAGTTCTCTTGAAGGCTGTAAAAGAGAATTCACACAGGGTAAGTATTCATGTCAAGGTAAAACCATGAATTTAAGCCTTTAAACCCTAAGATCAAACTTTGAATTCTCATTTGTTGCCCCTATTCATTTCTCACAGAAGTAGTGAGAAGAAGTTGATAAAATATCAAGAAAGTTCATCTCGTGTGATCATGTCCGTAATTCTCATGACCACTCTGTTTTACAAAGCACTGATATTACAAGGAGACATTTGATGCTGATCACTCTTAGGGCTTAAAGAGTTAAGAGGCCATCAGTATCATGACAACAGGTACAGCTGAGGTGCACATTTATGTCTTTGCTACTTTAAAAACTACTGTCACAGATAAATTCTAATGAAAAGCAGTTTAAATTTTAACACCAAATTAAAAATAACAAGCCACAATATAGGCCCAAAAGCAGACATGAAGTTTCAGTCTGCTAATTCCCTCTTATTTCCTGCTGATTTCCTCTTAAAATTGAGGAAGAAGATGCAGTCTTTGCTTTGCTTGACCCTTCACATTGCAGGAATAACACCCTAAAAATGGCCGTCCTATCTCCAACAGGGAAAGTACATGTATAAACATTGTGACCTCAAGTAGTACTTGGTAATAAATACATTGAAACCTAAATTACTAATTCATTGCCTTATTCATTCCATTCAGCTAATGTGTTGAATGGAAGAGTTTTGAGCCTTATATAGGAATGATCACGGAGTACAACATAACAGCGTTAGAGATTTGAGTAAAGCGCGTTAAAACCAGTTGCCTGTCAGTAATGGAACTTAATGAGCAGAGTGGTTGCCTTGTAATATTAATTAATCATCGAGTTGTGATAACTAAAAGACAACTTGACGTGACTCCTGCTCAGTGTAACAACAGGCACTTGGTGAAACTAAAACACTGCAATTCACGCACATTACCTCCATTATGATTGCAGATGGACTACATTTGTTGCTAAACTTTCCAGATTTGGGCTGTGCAGCAGCTGTTGCTCCTAGAAATATTTTTAAGAGCAAATATGAAGATAAAACAAGTACATAACTTTTTGATACTGAAACAGTTGAGTGTCTTTAAAAGGAACTTTAAGTGAAAAATGACGATCACCATTTGATTGGGCAGCAATAGAAAAAGTTACGCCTAATTTGCTTTCATACATTGAATAAGGTTGCCATAAAAAATGAATTTTCTGAAGCCAACATTCTATCATATTTTGTTGTATCATTCTTCACAAGACACTTTGACAAGTCATTTGGAATCTGTCCCTCACCAAATGCAGAATTTTTAAGAACTTTCTGTCTGAGAAGGAAACAGAATTAAATAGACTGTGCCCTCTGGATGGTAACAGTTAATAACATACCTCCTATCATATTTGATGCACTCACTGTATTAGCTGGGGCTTTGGACAGTGCTGTGTATCCACCCTTAAATATATACAATATAACAGTACAATGTATAACTTTAAGTATAAGAGAAATGTGATTTCAGAGAGCTTAAAGGGGCAGGTAAATTTGCTATTGAGGCAACTTCAGCACTAAATAAACACAGAATAAGCGTTAATAAGATGTAATGGCAAGTACAAAAGCAACGAAGGGACAATCAGTGGGCTTTATAAAGACAAATCAATGCCATAATTCAGGGCTGCAATTAAGGTTCAACCAAGGTTGTCAAAAGTAGCCGGCTGCCGGTGAAAATCGTCACCTACTTGGTTAGTATTGGCTGGCTACTCTTCTTAGCATTTCTTTACAGATGGCATTTTTTAAATAACATATCCCTGGACTGGCTAACTACTTTGACGACTCAGCCATCTACTTCAAACCTTTCTGACAATTCTTGTTCAACACTGTGTAAGAACCTGTACTTTCAGGGAAAGTAGCCAATCATTTGTCCAACAAATCTTCCTATACTTGTTTTATTTGACTCATTTACAAACTTAGAGTTTAGCCAGACACTAATGACAGCCCTGTATAACTTATTGGAGCCAAAAATGCTTGAAGAATTACCAAGACTTTTTTAGGAATAACTCATTAATTTTTCACTGTACCTTGGGAGGATATTGAAATGGTGAATCACCAAAGTTAAACAACAGCTCTGCATTCTGCATATCATACAAAAAACAGTGAACAAATATTAGAATAATCACAGAAGTTAAAACACACTTCTACAGATGGTGATGGATACACTGAAGCATTGAATGACTTTACTTCTTATTTTTTCTTGCTGTATGAAGTACATTTTTTTTGCAGTTGACATGTCTGGAATACTGCAAATTCTGATAAACTTTATAATTCCCTGCAACATGTTAATACTGTGTAATACCCTCAATCAAAAGAAGATTGTCATGTTGGATCAGAGCAAGCTACATAAAAGGATCTCTTGCAATTCGTTTCTACTTGCCTTTAACACAACTGCAGCAAAAAAGGTGTTCCCTTGAAGGCTTCGATGAATCTCAAATGCCTTGCCTAAATCCACTCCTACAAAACAATTAGGGCCATTTATACGAGGAAAAATAAGACGCGTCTTACATAAGACGTGTCTTAAATAAGCACATATTCCGTATAAACAGCACATTTCGCCTAAAATAAGACGCGGCTTAGCTAAGACGCGTCTCATTAGATAAGATATGCTCGTATAAATGGTACAGTTCGCGTCTTATGTAAGACGCCTCTTATTTTTCCTCGTATAAATGGCCCTAATGTAACATTTGATGCAAACCAGTCAGATTTCACGTTCAGGTACACTACAATATTTCTAATAATTAGAAATTTAAAAATTTATTAAATTCCCCGTAATTAAACTCATGTTCAGGTGCATTACCAATATTTCTAATTAAATTCCCTCTCGGCAAGGCCTGCCAATGGCTCCATTTTATGTAGACCAGTGTTGTTCTTTTGACTTAGGTGCCTAAGTGTTCAAACTCTCAAATACAGAGGGAACTTTTAACATCTCAGATGAAAACATCATGCACAGAAGTTGAACTTGACCAAGTAAGCCTCATGGGACTATTCCTAATGCAGTGAATAATGATAACATTAAACATTGTGTCAAGTTAATTTATTACCATTTTTGCTAAATGTTATAGATCCATTATCAAGATCAATATAGCATCCAATAGTATCATGGGACTATTCCTAATGCAGTGAATAATGATAACATTAAACATTGTATCAAGTTAATTTATTACCATTTTTGCTAAATTTTATTGATCCATTATCAAGATTGATATAGCATCCAATAGTATCATTGATTCCAAATGGCTGGAGAATAAACAGACAAAAAAGTACATTCTTAGTTCATAGAGTTCTTAGATAACAAATTCACGTCATGAATATACAATTGGGAAGGACCACTCAACACTGCCATCTCTACAAATTTTGTAGTTTCTTCAAGGTCTCATAGGGATAAGTGTACAAGAAGCCACTCAAGGTTGGCAGGGTTTCTCAACTTACCAGTAGCCAATTTTGATCTTGAAGATCTACTGGTAGTCAGAGCTGAACAGTTTTACGTCTTATAATGTTCAGAGCCATTATCATATTATATTCATTAACTAAGTACTGCTCTACCCCTGCAGAAGACCAGTTTTTTAATTGAATAATGTATTCTAAAGCCAAATAAAGTTAGTGATACTGAAACAACTTGCACAGATTTTTTAATTCAATCTGTGGATCACTCAAGAGATATTTTAATAGAGCCATTGATAGGACCACAGCATCATCAAATTACCCACAGACAAATTAGTCAATCATTGCAGTTACTGTAAAAATATTGACCCCATTGAATCCAATAAGAAGGAAGTTATTTTTGTGAATGTATTAATTATAAAAAAAAAACATAATGAGGTAATAATCAGCTGATTATTAAACAGTGCAGTTATCTTCTTATAATACACTACCTCTCCGTAGGTGTCAAATTGTCTTCCAAATGACTTTTTGCCAGTTCCTCCAAACCCATATCCTTGTTTATCAGTTCCTGAAGGTCAACAACATTAACACATTAAACAAATACAGTTATAAAGCAGGAGAAATAAAGGTTTAATAGGACTTGTTTTTGCTGTTTGCTGTACTTTCATGGTAAATACACATTTATCAGTTTCAAGCCATTCCTCATTGAGGTTCACAGCTCAAACATTTTGACTGCTTCTTTGGGGGACAATGGACATTTTAAACTCATTGGTCATTAAACTTACCAAGATCTAGAGATGCGAGATCTGTGGCCCACCCAACACGGCAAAGACCCTCATCTGTTACAGTAGCTTCATAGTAGTACATGCCTATGGCAATGATCAAGGTAATAATACATTTTAACAGTTTGACCTAGGACACAACGTGTACACAATGTGTAAAATTAGATAAATGATTCACTGTATAAATAATGGACTTACCCTGCTTAACACCAAGAGTGGAGCGGCATCCTTGCCATCTAAAATGATTGCGACTTTGGCACAGTAGACCTTTCTCATCAATGGCTACAAACCAGGGCATGATGTCATAAATATTTATTAAAAATAATAATAAAATAGTAGGTTGAGTTTGATCGTCTGGGTGAATGTAGTCCTGAATAGGACAGTTGTTGTTGACAGTGACTGACGTTTTAACAACCTGTACAGTGGTCATCTTCACTCTTGACTCTGAAGATGACTACCGCACAGGTTGTCGAAACGAATTGAATTCAAGTTTTTTATAGCCCAGAACTTAATGCATAAGTTTACTTATTGCAATCTTTTTGTATTGAGATCTGAGCTTTTTAGGTTGGCATAATTTATGAATGATCAATAGGCTCATTGCTGTCAATAAGATCAGCCCAAATTTGGATTAACGTCTGTGGATGAAAAGTGTGTCATCTGAAACAGTTTTTAATTTAAATACTCACCAAAATCTTGGTCTCTGTCATGTTGACTCATTCTAAAAGTGGTTGGTGCTAACAACGGAATGAAATTTGAGAAGTCTATTGTCAGATATAATTTATAAATACGTCTCTCCAGAGTATTCATACAAATTCAAATTAATGCACTCAAGATAAATTCTTTAAAAGAACATATATGTGCACTCAGAAGCAATTTTATAGATATTACATGATTCCCTCAATCCATAAAATTGACTTTTGGAGTGAAACTATTCTCATGGACACTAAAACCCTGAATGACAGTACAGATGTCCATGCAATTTCGTTGAAGGGGCTAAGAACGATGGTGATGGCTGTGCTGTAGCAGTATTTAGTGATCCTTGGTGACTCACCATTCCTTCGGGTGAGAATAAATACTGTTAACTTTTACTCCAACCTTGAAAGCAAGGCATGCTAGATTAGATTAAGTTAATTTAGAGCTCTTGTGCCATACACATGAAGACAACAAACTGAACAAATTTCTAAACACCACAACAGACTGAGTTATTAGTGAGATCAATTAATTCACTATAGCCAAGAGAATGAAAGGGTTTATGCACAAAAGGTTGCCTAAGTCATAAAATTATATATTATAAAATTGTACCAGTTGATGGAGCTGCACTGGAGGCAGGACGAGAAGTCTTGCCACTGAGAGCATCTCTTACTGTTTCATGCACAATTTGAATCACAGGTAAACAAAATGCCTGATCAGAAATGGAATAAGAAAATATCATTGTGAGTCATAGGCCCTGCAAGGCTTGAATTTTCTATGATAGTTAGGAGGCTTTTTGGATTAACATAATAAATTTCACAAGAACAAAAAACAACAATAACAACATCAAAGCCAGGGCTTGAAATAGATATAGATATAGCCTGCCTTTTTTAATTTTTGGCAGGCCATACAAATTCTGACCTGCCCTTTACTATCTTAGCCTGCCACCAACTGACATTTAGTGCTACTTATGAAATCATATTATTTGGATATTTTAGTCCTGACCAGTCAAGTGCATGGCTTTCAAATATTAAATAACTGAAAAAAAAAATCACCTTTATATAATTCCGTACATTACAAAAACATTACAATGGGAATCACCCCACGAAAAAAACAAAATTGTTGTGTAAAGTATTAAATGTAGTGGATTAGAGGACAACAAGATGCGTCCTCTTTACAATTATATATCAACGTGTTAATGGTAAGCTAAGATGTCAGTATACAAGGGTGCCAGTGGAAGCCGCTATCAGTCCATTTATGAGTTTACTGTAACCCACCTATAACCCATGACCATGAATGATGAGTGTAAGGTGGACCACACCCCCGCACCCCTACTCTTTTTGAACAGGAGTGTGGGTTCTTTTACATCCCCTTGAATTTGACTAATGAATGAAGGATGAAGGAGACAAGACCAATGGATTAAGGTCACTGCCCAATGATATGATCATCTGAACTGAGACAAGGTCTCAACTCAAAGCCAGCATGATCTCAGGGGCACCCGACGAGAATATAGTTCAAAACCACTTGAACATAGCATTGTTAAACGTGTTTTAGTTTTTAAACGGTAGATATAGGCATATTTTTATCCCCTACGAATCTTTCATCTGTTCGGATTTCCTAGCTGAAAGTCTAGTGATCCGAAAATTATAGGGATCAAAACTTACCTTTTTGCAAATTTCAGCCAGAAAAAAGGCTCCCGAAAATTCTAGGTGACCTTTTTATGCTAAAAATCCGTTAAAAATGGGCAATTATACCATTTTTTAGAAGTTCGAAAATCCTAGGAGAGGCAGGCAAGCAAGACATTTTACAACAAATGTTCCGAAATTTCTAGATCTCAAATCGTCTTTCGAACAGATATTTTCCAAAAAATTGACGTTGGGTGCCCCTGTGATCTCACCAGTTCTCTAAAGACCCTGGTTGTTTGTCAGGCCGGGTTTTAAACCCGTGGCCTCCTGCTCGGCAGACTGGTGCTCTCCCAACTGAGCTTAACCGGGTAGTGGTGTTGTGGTCACTAAAGCAGTGATTTTGTTGCCTCTGCGTCCTTTATCCCTGACGCATAAAAATAACGAAAGACGCAAAATAATTGATGAAATGCACCCCATGGGATGAAACGAACAATCGATCGATTTGAAGATGGTTTGGACGTGGAATATCCTGTATGAGTGATTTCTCATGCATATTTATTTTAGCCTTTTTTGTGCTTTAAATATAATTTATGGAAGGACTATATTTTAATTTCAGTAAACAGTAATAAAGAGTTTTGGCATCTGTCCCCTGAGATTAACTGTCTGGCTACATAAAGGTTCAAGCATTTTCAATTTAAGACTCCTAGTTTTTTTAAACTGGAACTCATTGGTTATGGACAGGGACTCATGATTTTTCACAAGATGAGTCCCATGACTCACCAAAAACTATTTGTTACAAAATCACTTCTTAAGGTTAAAGAAAACTTATTTCATACCCCAGTCTTTCCACTTCCAGTCTCAGCAGCCTGTGTAGAAAGTGCAGATCAGCATAAAATTAAAAATTTACTTTGGTGTTTGATCTGCAAAAATGAACTGATGATTGGACTGTGAAATGAATGTGTTCTAACCATAAGCACATCTCCACCTCCAAGAATCAGCGGAATGGCTTCCGCTTGTACATCAGTAGGTAGCCTGAAAAGGACAAATCAATAATAATATTATTAAAAAATTTAAGTCTCCCGCAGCTCAAATATCTGAAATTTTTTATTGACTTTCATAAAACAGAGTTTCGTTGTTGTTCTATACAGTACCACTTGGCCCGAGGAAGGAAGCCCATATAAAACTGGTGGGGACGCTTGTCAGAAAATTCAAATTAAATCCCTAAGGGAGACCAATGTGGGTGTGGCTCAAGCTTAAACTGACCCCTTAAGGAGAACATATGAAAACAGACACCATGCAATTTTTTGTAAATTTCTTTAACCACAGCCCCAAGCGATACCAGAATGGCTAAATAAAATGTCTTTCCCTCCCAAACACCCTAAATGAGACCAAAATTTGCAATTTAGACCCCTAAGCAAGACAACAACCATCCCTGGCACTTTTATAAGGGGATTCCCCCAGGTCACTGAGTAGCCTGTGAGAGATAATCTCCAGTCCCTGGTTGTTCAAATGTTGGATAGCACTATTCTTCAGATAAATCACTGTCTAGTGGATAAATATTGGAGAAACCAATAGTATTGCACTATCTACTGGAGAGCGATTTATCCGGTGGATAGTGCCATCCACCTCTTGAACAACTGGGGCCGATGTCAGATCTGCAAAGGTTAACATCTAAATTCATTCAGTTTAATAAAAAATCTATCAGTCAAGAATACTTACAGCCAATCCATGTCTTCCACTGCTTTGCAAATTTCAGGAAGCAAGCCAAACTCTAACAATTTATTATAAGAAAAGTTAAACACTTTTTATCGCTTTGGCAGTTTGTAGTTTTCTGGGTTTCATATCACACAGTCACACAAGGACAGAAAGTGAAACAATGAAACCAAGAACTAGAAAAGCAACTGCACTTCCTGTCCAACACATTCTACTGCAAGTACATGTCAGCTGTAGTGTCCAAGAAAAAACAGCTGAAAAAAACAGTACACGTGTTTCAAAGAACTAGATGTGTGGTGTGGGCCGAGGTATATAGTATGAGGGCGACATCTAAATAACTTAAGCTTCACGATATATAAGTAAATACTACGCAGTAATTAGAAGTTTCCAAGAACTGTAGCGACTGTTTTTACTTCAAAAATATATTAAACTAGTCTACCTGAAAAGTGTCCCGCCATTTTGAATCCAGAGCGCTGTAAAAGAGTGAGACTGGATATAGTAGTGCCAGTGATTCTCATAATGACAGCTGAATTTCAGCTGAAACGCCTGGCAAAAAAACTGTTTAGCTGTGTCAGTGTTATCAGATGATTGGATTGCGGAAGATTAATTCGAAAGTGGTGTTGTGTACGAAGGCTGTTAACCGGTTTCGTGCTATGATGAATGAGAGCTCCTTCCATACCACCAGCTCGGATAAAGCAGAATTCAAAGATCTACTCCATAAAGCGCAAAACGTAGTTGTCCTGACTGGAGCTGGTTGTAGTGCTGAAAGTGGCATCCCTACTTTTCGCGGTTCTGGCGGCTTGTGGAGGACTTTCAGAGCTCAGGATCTAGCGACGCCAGAATCG